AAGTGCCTGCTGGTGCCAGACGTCACACGAGGCCTGAGCAGTACGAATGTGAGTCAGACGCAGTTCCTACCTGCGTGGTCTACAGCTGGGGGGAGATGGGAAACAACAATGACAGAGCAATACAAGTCTTGTCGACCCTAGGGTCCTGCTGTACCACTGGCATATCACTTAGCCTTTCAGGGCCTCAGTTTCCCTATTATACTACTTCACGAGGCTAATCTATGGCTTGAGGCTGTCCCTACAGCACGTGTTCAGTATGAACTAAAACCAGTGGATGTTGAGTTGAGTCACTTCTACTTTGTGCCTATCCTATTTGTATATCCTGGTCTGGCGTTGTAGGATAAGCACAGGACTGCTAACCGTGAGGTCAGTGGTTCAAAACCACCAGCCAGCCACTCCTTGGAAACCCTAACCAGGCTTGGAATGGATCCTAAGGCCCTTAACAATAACAACTTGTGTGCCGGAGTAAAAGTGCGCTCCCTAGGGTTTTCATCAGCTGATTTTTTCTCTCTTAGAAGTAGATTACCAGACCTTTTTTCTGAGGTACCTCCGGGAGGACTCTAGTCTCTAACTTTCCAGTTAATAGCCAAGTGCCCTAACTGGTCATACCCAGGAGCTCCTTTGGATGAGCAATGAGCTGTTATTATGATAGGCATCCTTTAGTGGTACAAAGAGATAAGCTAATGGAAGGTTGACAGTTGAAGCCAAACTAGAGGCACCTCAGAAGAAAAACCTGGCAATCTACTCTTGAAAGATCACAGCTAATGAAAACCCTACAGAGCAACATAGGGTCACCATGAGCAGTCGGAATTAACTCAGTGGGAGCTGGTCTGGTTTTGTTTGTGCATGTTTGTATGAAGATGAAGGGAATTTAGATACAGTGTGATATTGTTGAGTTCCATTGAATTGGTTCCTACTCAGCAATCCTCTATAGGGTTTCTGAGAGTGGCTGTTGGGTTTGAAACCGCCAATCTTGTGGTTAGCAGCCTAGTGCTTAGCCTAGAGTGCCCCACCAGAATGCTTAGATACAGTGTATCAGGACAAAAATCCCAACTTTACCACTTGATCTTGGGCAAGTGATGTAAACTCCCCACACACTCAGTTTTCCTATCTCTAAAGTGGACATAGGGAAGCACCTCTCTCATAGGTAGTTGAAAGTACTTCACAAGATAATGTACATAAGGTCCCAAGCTAGTTCAATGGATAGAAATGATCAGAATGAGATGAGGAGGGTGGGGGTGGTGTGGTGGTGCTGATGTGCCGTGGAGTCGGTTCCGACTCATGGCGACCCTGCATAGCGTTTCTGAGGCTGTAAATCTTTATGGGAGCAGAAAGCCTCATCTTTCTCCCACGGAACCACTGGTAGTTTTGAACTGCTGACCTTGAAGGTAGCAGCCCAACTCATAACCACGATGCTACCAGGGCTCCTTGAGGGTGGGGGTGTTGTTGTTAAGTGCTGTGGAGTCTATTCCAACCCATAGCGACCCTGTAAATCCTGTAAATCTTTAAGCCTCATCTTTCTCCTGCGGAATGGCTGGTAGTTTCAAACTGCTGACCTTAAGGTTCGCAGCCCAATTCGTAACCACTACGCTACCAGAGCTTTGAAGGTGGGGGTAGTAGGCATGATAAAGATGGTGTGGGAACAAAGAGGAGAGAGACAGGGAATTTCCCAGCAGTTGATGGCATTTGAACCAAATCTCAGAGGTTACATCACCAATCCCCCAGCAATGAGAGGGGCTAGGGTATTCCAGAGAGGGAAGAGGGGCTTCAGAGGTGAGCTAGGGTCAGATGACATAGCACCCTGAAAGCCATATAAGAAGCCAGCGAGTGCCTCACTCTGGAAGCAAAGAGGAGCAGAAAGCCCATCCGGCTGCAGTGTGGGACAGGAGTGAGCCGAGGGGAGGCTAGTGGTCCACTGTGGAGGCCAGCAGTGAGGATGGCAAGAATCGGGGTTAAGAGGGCAAACGGAGGAGCGGATTTGAGAGCCATGACTAAGGTCAAAACCAAAGGTCTTGGTGCCTAACTGTATGTAAGGGAGGTGGGGCAGAGTCCATGGTCGAGGTCAAGGGATTTGGATGAGGAATCAGGAGGGGAGCAGAGAAGGAGAGGAGGCAGATCATGAATTCAAATTCAACTTGGGTCCTGCTGAATTTGAGGAGCCAGAGGAACAGAGTAACACTGCAAAGACGAGAAACCTCACCCAAGTACCTGGGGACACAGACAGCACGTGGACATCCCCATTCGAGGATGCCTGAGGGCCACATTTGCCTTATAAAAGTTGCATTTCTTCCTGGTCTATTTGATTTTGGTTGCCAATATATGAAAAGCAAAAGCTTTTACATTGGCAAATTCTTGTCTCCTTTTGCAAAATGGGAGGATCCGGTCACCCTGTGCCCCATTCCCTCATAACAGCACTCAGCTGGTGGTTGGCAATGGGTGGGAAGGCACATCAAGTGCTCTCCCCTTTGGCCCTCACCTGGGCCCCCTACCCACCAAACATGTTTGATACTTGATCCCACAGCATAACCACACCATTCTGTGGATACCCTGACATCCTGGGAGTATACCCACTGAGGCCCTAGGCCCACATACCCAAGTCCCCACAGTGTAGAAAAGACCCCCAGGTAAAGAGTGGCTCACGTGCCCCAGTATGTCTACCCATGCACATGCACAGGTTTCTAGACGTTTCTCCAAGTTTATTCTGTGGCTCTTTATGTGTGTATGTGTAAGAGAGAAAGAACATGAATAAATGAATGAAGTGTGAATGAATGGAATCCAAAGAGCCTCTGTGCAAAAAGGCACATTTTCGATCTTCCTGACCTCCCTTCCAACAGACTTGCCTCAGAGGCCTCCTTTTAACACAAGCAGGACCTGTGAGTATAAATTGTTTCCACCACCACATCCGACTTTCCCAAGTTCCAAAGTAATAAATATCGGAGCACCTATATACTACCTGTTAGAAGTCCTGGTGTGGCGCTGTGGGTTAATGCGTCAGATTGCAAAGCTGTTTGAACTGCAAGGTCAGTGGTTCAAGCTCATCAGCTGCTCCTCGGAAACCCTATACAGGGTCACTATGGGTTGGAACCGACTCGACGGCACTTAACAACAACAACAAATACTACCTGTTAGACTCACCACAAGGCATTTGACTCAGAGATAGCTCTCTTTTTGAAAAGAATTTTTATTGTGAGTTGGGTGAAAGTTTTCCATTCAACAATTGATGCACATTTTGTTCCACCTCATTGACTGCAATCATCACAATGAAACATTCAACTTCCGCCCTGTGCTTCCCATTTCTGGTCCTCCTCCTTTCCTAACCCTTCTGAACTTGGTCCTTGGGTAAATACTTCCCTCTTGATCTCCAATGCTGGTTATTCTAAGCTGTGTGTACCTCACTAGTGTTATTATTCCCTTCATAGGCCTGTCTATTGCTTGGCTGACAATTCATTTCCAGACCTGAAGGGTGACTTAGGGCCGTAGTCCCAGGGGTGTCTCTTATAACCGTCACCAGCAACTCAAACAGAGATTACTATCCCCATCTTGCAAAGTGCAACCAAGGTCCCACAGCACTCATGTAGCTGTGGGGCCAGGAGTTGACCTTGGGTCTCCTGTAAATTGTTAGCTCCCGGAGTCCTGGTGTGGCACTTGCAAAGTCATTTGAACCACAAGGTCGGTGGTTCAAGCTCACCAGCTGCTCCTTGGAAACGCTATACAGGGTTGCTATGGGTCGGAAATGACTCGACGGCACTTCACAACAGCAATAAAGGTGTAAACCCAAGCTCCTGCATTACCCCAACCCAGCTCTGGTTCCTCCTGCCCTAGCTCCAAGACCCTCCCACTTATCAAGTGTGTAACAGTAATGGTGAACATCTTATGGGCAGGGATGTGTCTAAATTACATCTGGGTTCCCAGGCGCCGGCACAAGGCTTGGCATATTGCCAGTCATCAGGTACAACTTGTCACCCCACTCCCTCCCAGGAGAGCATCCCTTTCACACCCTGGGAGAACCAGGACCAGACTCTCCCCAGCCCGCTCCCATTTTCCAGTGAGTCAGACAGAGAGGCGAGGTGTCTTGGGTGGCTTTTACTCTTGGCAACAAAAGCATTTTCTGAAGCGCCCACCTACAATCAAGGACAGGCAATGGCTGCTCTGCCCAATGGGACTCAGATACAGCCCCACCATCCCAGCCAGGCCCTCAGCACTTAGCTCCTAGAGTGGTCCCAGGAACCCCTTTCCCAGACCAACACATCGATGCCTCCTCATGCATGCCCAGGGAATGGGGCACACACACACAGGTCTCTCTCATCCTTCAGGAATCAGAAACTTTCTCCTTAGGTTGCTGAGTAAGAGCAAACAGAAAAAAGGAGGTTTTCTCTCACCCATAGTTCTGTTTTCTCTCAAGTACACGCATATACCCACACCTACATGAGTTCAGAGATATGCATTAGTTATTACAAGGACATAACTGGTCAACTACCCAAAAATAAACGGAAACAAACTACCTGCCACTCATACCCCCCACTACCATATCACTCACTCTCCAATTTCATCTGTATCTCGTTCCGGCCTGAAAGGCACACTCCAGTTCCATAATCACACCCTCTGGGGTGGTTTCCACACACAGCACACAAAGATACAGGAAGCCATATAGTGTGACCCACAGATTTGCGGGCTACACTACCCACAATTGGGAAGGTAAATCTGGTCACACACACGCGCACACACAAAGTTAACTACCACAAAAGTGCTAGGATCCAAGCCAGATCCTCCACGACCTTCCGGGCCCAGCACTCTTCCTACCGGCACGCACTGACACGTGGGGAGACCGATGCAGAGGAGCGGGTGGAGGTGAAGCTTCACAAAACCCAATCTCAGCACACGCACGAGTTGTACACAAAGCCCCTGGGCGCGCATATACGCACACCCAGGTCCACGCTGTTCGATCCAAAGTTGGGCGCAGAAAGCCCTCAGCAACCAGACTGCCAGCCGCTCCCGCCTGTATGCCGCTCACACCCCCTGCTCCTGCCCTTGGCTGCGAATGCCGCCAAGCCGGGCCAGGCCGGACCGGGCCAGGAGGCGCCCGCAGCAGGGAGGCCCAGAGAGGCCCGGCTCCGCGGGGCCGGCGTGCGCGCGGGTCCCTTTTGCCGGGTGTCCTTCGGCCAGGCAGCGAGGTCAGGAGAGAGCCCAGCCTCCCAGCCTCTGGCCCTCCGCCCTGGCCACCCCCTGCAGCGGTCTCCACGCGTACCTGCGCGGGCCTCCCCGCCGGCCTCCCCACGAGGCACCGAAGGGCGCGGGCACAGGCGGGCGAGCGAGGGCGCGTCCTCCCCCGGCGCCCTCCC